CATCAAAAAACTATATACCCCTATTGGAGTTTAAGGCCTCTTTTGCTAATGCATCCGCACAGAGGTTGTTGTTGTTGAAGGTATGAGAAAAACATACTTCCCAATCCTTTGCCAAAAGCTCCTGAATTCGTCGTAATTCAGGATCTAATAACCTCCCCTCTTCCCGATTTAGCACCAAATCTAGCGCCGGCTGGGAGTCTGATTCAACAAGGACTCTAGACCATCCCCGTTGTTTTGCTACCTCAAGACTTCGCCGAATAGCAGTAATTTTGGCAGTCTCCACTGAGCACACACCAATGTTTTCCTGGAAAGCCGTCAAAAACTCCCCTTGATCATTCCGAGCAATGCCACCTACAGCCCCTATTTTGGTTTCCCTGCAGACAGCTCCGTCGCAGTTGAGTTTAACCCAATTGGTGGGAGGTAATTTCCATCCTGATGCCTCTTCTCTACTGGCGGCAGTCCTCGTTCGTCTAAGTATCCTTTCACTATTAATTATTTCCTCTGTTTTGTAGTGAATGATCCTCACTGCCTCATTAACATCCCACTCCTCTTCATTGAAAACATTATTATTCCTCCAGGTCCACACAAGCCAACTAGTAACTCCAAATTTGGTCCTCCATGACATGCTTTTAGAGCTTAAGTTAGAGATTAGCCAATCCTTGAGTGGAGAGGTGAAAAAAATTATGTCGATGATGCGCCGGAATTATGGCCTCCCAAATCGCTCTCCTACTATTGCAATCTCTTAGAGCATGTAGTGTTGACTCATTTTCCCCGTTGCAGCAGCTGCACATTTCGGTCTCTGTTATCCCTCTGTGCCTGCATAGCTCATTTGTAGCCAGTCGGTCATGGAAAGCCAACCAAAGGAAGCATTTGATTCTCTGAGGCCCCTTCCATGTCCATACTTTGCTCCATCTTCTGTCATCCTGCAGGTTAGCATTGTCAATAGCCAAATAGTATGCTGATTTTACAGAGAAGTTACCAGACCTGCCAAACATCCATTGTGGTTTGTCCTGTCCCAAGGCCGCCATAGGAGGTGGAAGGCTGCATATCTTTCTGATTACCTCATGTGGAAGAAACCTAGAAAATTTGGCCAAATCCCAACTGCCATCCTCCAACACATAATCAGATACCGTTTTTTTGTACTCCTCTTCAGAAATAGGGGAAATTGCGTGGTCTGAGAGTTTTGCATAACCCTCTACCCAATTGTCCCCCCAAAACAAAACAGATTCTCCATTCCCTACTGCCCAGGAGGTTCCCTTCTCCACTAAGTGATATACATCACATATTGCCTTCCAAGTTGGGGAGGCATTTTTTTCCTTATCAACTGCAGTCCCGTTTGAGAAGATTTACAATATTTAGCCCTCAAAATTTGTACCCATAGTTCATCTCTTTTCGCCAACATTTCCCAACCCAATTTCATTGGGAAAGCCATGTTATTTTCACGAGCTTTTCTCAGTCCCAACCCTCCTTTCTCCATACTATTACATACCGTATCCCAGTTTACCAAGTGAAGTTTCTTCTTTTTTGCTGTAGAACCCCAGACAAACCCCCTCACTAATTTATCAATCTCATCGCACACATATACCGGGAGCTTAGTTGACTGCATTTGGAACATAGGAACTGCCTGAAGGACAGATTTTGCTAAAGTGATCCTTCCCGCCTTTGATAATTGGTTCGCCTTCCATCCTGAGAGTTTTTTTCGCACCTTATCTAGGATCTCCTTGTAAGTGGACTTATTTACTCTTCCGTGTAAAACTGGGGAACCCAGATATTTGCCCAAATTGCTGGTCATGACGAAACCTAAGCCATTACAGATAGAATTCCGTAATTAGTGTGGAGTGTTCTTGGAGAAGTAGACTTTGGTTTTCTGGGCATTTACTTTCTCCCCAGAGGACCTGCAAAATGAGTTTAGCACTTCGTTAATCACCTGCACTTGATCCAAAAATGCTTCTCAAAACAAGAATAAGTCATCGGCAAAAAACAGGTGGGACAATAAAGGGCCATTTCTACTCAGTCTGATTCCTTTCCACACTCTTTTATCAACTGCAGAAATAATACCATGAGCTAATAATTCCAAACGTAAAACAAAAAGATAAGGAGATAGAGAGTCTCCCTGTCTAATTCCCCTTGTTGGTTGAAAGCTGTTCGTGACACCTCCATTCCAAAGAACCCTCATATTGGGCGATGAGATACAGTTCACAATCAGGTTCACTAGGTCAGTTGGAAACCTTGTCGCCTTAAGCGAAGATTCGATAAAGTCCCGTCACAGCCTGTCGTAGGCTTTCTCCAGGTCAATCTTTATTGCCATCCACCCCACCTTTCCTTTCCTCATTCTCATTGAGTGGACCACCTCTTGTACTATGATGGTGTTGTCAGCGTTTTCTGCCCGGAACGCAGTTTGGGTTGATCTAACAAGTTCACCTATCACTGGTTTAACTCTATTAGCAATTAACTTCGTAATCGCTTTGTACACCACATTGCAGAGACTTATGGGTCTATATTGTATTAGATTTTCAGGATTACTGGTTTTGGGAATCAGTACCAGTAAGGTGTCATTGATATGTTGAGGGATTCTTCTTTCTATAAAAGCCTTCGACACAAACTCTGTCACCGTTCTGCCGACTATTTTCCACTGGGATTGGAAGAAAATTGGGCTCCAACCATCTGGTCCTGGGGCTTTGTATGCTCCCATATCAAATATCGCTTTCTTGACTTCGTCATCAGAGATTCCTCTATGTGCATTTTGACTCCCCCCTAATTCCCTCATAAGTGCCCCCTTTCCACTCTCAACTTCAATCATATATATATATATATATATATATATATATATATATTTAAGTGAGCAAGGGAGTACTCCTCCGATCCTTATTATAAGACATTTTGATTTCGTCCTAAATTTCATCTATGATGTCTTTTTAATTGAAATAAAAACCTTAAAAATATTTCATAATGATTAAGAGAATACAACAAATTTGAAAATATATTTTAAATTTTTTTTCAATTAAAAAGACATTCTAAGTTAAACCTAGAACGAAATCAAAATAATTTATAATAAGTACCAGAGGGAGTATAAGGGTTCGATTGATCAATGAGACCTTTTCCTCTTCTGTTTTTGGGATGAAGCTTGTATACGGATTTGGGTTCTAGGGTCGTCAAGGTCATGTTCATTCATAAAAATGAAACCGTTGAATCCTGGCTTCCTGCCATGCATAGATTACAATTTTATTTTTTTTTATCGAGGTAGCTTTATCATTAATTGCTAATTTATGCAATTTTATCTTTTTTTTTTCCCCCCTTGAAATCATTTTATCAATTTTTTTTTTTTTAATTTGTGTGAATGAGACTTAAAAACACACATTACAAAGGGTGTTTTATAAGAATTTATTTGTTTTCAGATTTCACATTTGAGATAAATTGTATTCTCTGGAGGACAGGTGCATCTGTAGTTTTGTTCGCAGAGAATGGCTGTATCGACATAAAAATTTTGGGCACAATTCATGGGAAAACATGACACAGAAGACGGAATTGTAACTATTCAGCTCCAATGAAAAGAAGCAGAAACAAACACATCAACACTAAGAGCAAGATATTACAATAATTCGAATTAGCTAGCAAGCTAGCATTTGAGTTTTTCTTAAGCATGAAAAATTGAATATATCATACGATGATCATTTATTTGATGATAATCTTAGAAAAAAAGTAGCCTTCTCTATTTTACTTGAGGAATTGCTTCATCCACAAAGCGGATTTTTTGGGGTATCGTTTGAGTCCGTCCTTATAATCCACAAAGTTGAGGCCGAACCTCATAGCATAACCTGAGCCCCATTCAAAGGTATCCAAAAATGACCAAGCAAAGAACCCCCTCACATCAACTCCTCTCCTGCAAAAACCAACATATTCATTACTATCTTTTTTAATACCAATTGATGAGATTATGCATTTGAAGTTGGAAGACTGATATACGCTAAGCTTTTTAACACACACACACAGTAGCGGATCTAGGGAGAAAATCTAGTGGGGACCAACTATATATAATTACATCATTGAAGAATAAATTCTTATTTTAACTAATGCTTAAAAAGTATTTTTATATTTTGAGATTTTTAATTATCTTTAAGAGTGTCTCACTTAGCTCATCAATGTGAATCTCATTTCTGTTATAACTAAAATACAATGCAGATTTAAAGCTATTTGTATTTCAACAACTATATATAATTGTTTAAACATATACACCTGGAATGAGAGCACCAAATTTTTTATGGGCATAAATTTTTTTTAGGGCATTAATCTTCTTATAAAATTAAGGATAAAATTATTTAGGACCAAACTTAACAACAATTATGACTTTGAAATATTTTTTTTAGGCTCAAAGTCCAACCCAAATTAAGAGAAAATGAAATAGAAACACAATATTAGTCCAAATAACAAAATAAATCCTAATACGAACCTATAAACATAATTATAATTATAGTTCTTAAAACATTAAATCCATATAATAATGGTTTAGAGTGGGGCCAATGTGGGCCATGGCACCCTGGCCCTACCTTAAATCCGCCAGTGCACACACACACATCCACTTTCTGATACAAAACGGATAAAAAAAAATATTCTGAAACTAAATTATCCAATTTTTGGGAATAAATATAGGATGATGGAAGTATTTTTCATTTTATTTTTTAATTTGACCTAAAAAATGCATGAGAAAATATAAGTGATGAACTTACTTAATGGCAGTTTCCAAGGCCTTGAAATGGCCATAGTAGAACGACACCCTATTCGTGTCATTTGTTCCTGTCTTAACAGTGTCAACATTTATTTCAGCCAGCCCTGGCGAACATGAAAATGAAATCATCAATCAAAGGAGAGTTCTAAAGTCTATCATAATTTGAAAAATTCATTGAATTTGATTTTATTGTCTTCCTTGAGAACTTCATATGTAGATTACTCCCTTCCGTCGTTAATATAAGACATTTTGATTTGTCCTAGATTTAACCTAGTACACATTTTTAATCGACGAAAAAATCTTAAAAATATTTCATAACAATCAAGAGAATACAATGAATGTGAAAATATATTTTAAAATTTTTTTTGTCAATTAAAAATGTGTACTAAGTTTAATCTACGAAAAGTCAAAATGTCTTATAATAAGGACCGGAAGTTGTAATGATCTCTTACCATTTTCGGTAATGTAGACGATTGGATTCTTATAGTTGTCCTTTATGTAGACGAGAAGCTGAGGAAGCCCTTGGGGATATACAAACAGAAACGGTGCTGCTGTCTACATTTTGGTCCAAATAACGGGGTAAAAAAAATAAAAAAAAGAAAGAAAAGAAGAAATCAACAGCGCTTTCAATCGATTTCAACCCAATATAAGCAGAAGATTATTGCTCTCTCCGTCTCGAAATCGTTGTCCAGTTTAGAAATAAAAATTCAAACTGGACAATAATTTTGGGACAAAGGAAGTATTATGTTTTTCGGTGTAAAATTAACATCCTCAATTCTTTTTTAATGGTTTTTATCTTTTTTTTTTCGGGGTTGAAATATTAGGGAAATTAATACTTAAGGAAATTAACATACCGCTGCTCCAAGAGCTTTTCCATTCTTTATACCTGTGAAAACAACGAATTAAATCCTGTACATCAATATTATTTAAGTGAAATTTAACTCGCCTTCTTAACATTAAAAACTTAAGCAAGAATACAGATGTTTAAACTTCAAATCTCAATGTTGCGAAATAAACCAAGTAACTGAACCACTCTCGATTGATCCTTTGAGTTAGTACTTTAATCCTTTTAATTAATTCTGCCGTCTCAATAAATCATTCTAAATCATTCCTTAGCTTTCAACAGTCTCATATGTCCATTGGTAACATCAATCGCTAACAGACACGTAAATTTTTGCAGTTTTTTTTTTAATAAAAAAATAGTACACAATTTCAATAGTAAGACTTAGGGACTTACCGGTGAGAGTTGCACGAACATCGGTTGTGTAAGATGTATTAACAGTGGTACGAGTAGGGATGTCAATAACATAGTTGGAAGTATAATAGTTCAAACCAAGGAAATCCAATGTCCCTTTCACGAATTCTGATTCCTGTGCTGTGAATCTTGGTAACCTTTCTCCTAATTCCTCCCGCATCAATGTTGGGTAATCACCGTAGGTCAATGGATCAAGAAACCTGCAGTTCAGATTTATCCATCAATTGTTTGTTTCTTTTCCAAGTAATCTTATACTCTCTTCGTCCCATAATTATCGTCCAGTTTGAGTTCTCATTTTTAGCTCAAATTGTAATAAAAATAAAATCTCAAACTGGATAATAATTTTGGGACAGAGGGAGTATTATTTTAGTAAAGAAATAAAACTTTACTATATATACAATAATTATATAAGGTCTAATTCTTAATCGTTCAACAAAAATGAAGCATTAAGTCGGGGAAGAAAGAAGTATATGTATACCATCCAAGGTAAAAGCTTTGGGCTCGTTTGGTAGCCAATGCATCAGCTTTGCTTCTTGGGTTTAAAGGCATCATCCAGTTTGTCACTAGCACTATTCCTATGTTCCCTTTTTGGATGGGCTTTAAAACACAACACAATAAAAAGTGAGATTGTAACTATATATGATTTTTTTTTTATTTATTCAGAATGAATTTAGGCACGAGAAATTTTGAATAAACACACATTACACTTATATTATTTTTACTTAATTCGAGTTTTTTTTTTTTGTAAAAAAATAATTCTGTTTAATTACCTTGTATTTCTTCCTGTAGAGTCTGGCTGCAGTGGCATGAGAAAGGAGAATGTGGTGGGCAACCAAATAAGGCTCAGTGGAAGAATCTCCTTCTTTGCATTTATTCATCCATTTAGAACACCTGGCTGGACCTAATGTGCCTATAAATGATGTGGAGTCATAACCACCGGTGGAGAATGACCATGGCTCATTGAAGGTGGTCCAATACTTCACTCTGTCACCAAATTCTCTGAAACAAAGCTCTGCGTAATCCCTAAAGTCTTCACTGAAAACATTGTCAAGGAAACACATGCATGGGTCCGTCATTTAAAGTAGATTTTTGTCTTTTTGTCTTAAAAGTAATTTACATGAATCTTAAAAATTTAAACCGTCATTCCAATAATGCAGGACAAGCTGATCGATAATTTGTATTGACGTATATTACGAAAAAAAAGTCGGTTCAAATTGTAAATTGGCAATATGTAATATGTAATAATAATAGCTATAATTTACATACACGATACTAATGTTTCGGAAGCTGCCATATTCGTCTTCCAGAGCTTGCGGAGTATCCCAGTGAAATAGTGTGACAAAAGGTGTTATCCCTGCGGATTAGAATACAATTATAACTCTGAAAATGAGGTATTTTCTCAATTCCAAAAGTGATTGTTATATGTTTGTTACACTGAAAATAGTATAAATATTTGGACAATCAATAGAGTAGTAAAATATATATATAAAAAAATAATAATAAAAGCGAAAAGAAGTGAATGTGATGGATATACAGACCATTCGCGAGTAGTTCATTGATGAGATTATTGTAAAAGGCGATGCCAAGCTGGTTCACTCCTTTACTTAGCTTCCCATCTGTACATTCACATTAATTGGAAGTCCTAAGAAAATCAATTAAATCACTGAAAGAAAATTCATATGTAGGTTCTCATTTGTATAGTACTCCCCTCTGTCCCAAAATTATTGTCCAGTTTAAGATTTCACTTTTAGTATAATTTGAACTAAAAATAAAAACTAAACTGGACAATAATTACGGGACAGAGGGAATATATCTTTTGAATTAACTAGCTTTATCATCACTTCGAAAGAAAAGAGATGAACTACATACTCATGTCACAAGCTCAAGACACGGGTATATATATCTTTAAAAACTTGCAGTGCATGATTAACCATATTTTTATTAACTGATTTAATAAGTCAAGATGTTGTGTCACTATCGGAAAATTTTGAATTCTTGTCCATGAAACAGATAAAAGAGTACCATTTTTTTTTTTAAAAGAGAGGACTATACGTAAGATCGTACTATATACACACTTTCCACCAAGTAAATCTTATCACTAATTACCCCATACCCACCCTCAAATAAATAATGAAAAAAATTGATGAATCAACAAAATATCTTACGAGGCAAAACCCTTGACCACGAGATTGAAAACCGGAAGCCGTTCATGCCAATGAATTTCATTAATTTCACATCTTCCTGCAATATTCAGAATTTCACATCATCAATCATTGGTGCAGAAATCACTGCAGTAGGTGGACAACTTTGTGGCTTTTGATTTGTTTACAGGGTCGGCACTGGTATGACCATTCTATTCACTCCTCATGTTGGAAAAATTAAAATAATGGGCGGACTACACTTTACCTCTCCAGTTTTGGTTGAATCTATATATTATGAATCTCTCGAGAGTTTTTGTAATACCACCATGTACCTCTTAGCTCATAATCAACTTAAAAAAAAATGCTCTTTTATTATTTTAACAACATAATCATCAATTTTGTTTAAACCGTCAAAAATACCTTTCAATCCTTATTTTTTAATCCATATTTTTAAAAATTAAACGGTCATGAATTTTGTATAAACATGACGCAATAATGATATCACGTGACTGCTGCCTGGCCAATCAGATTGCAAGAAATTAATTGGCCGAACGACTTTTATTTTAGCTTATAGATAATCCATATTAATTTCTTTTACGTTATATCATGTCGTTTGAAGTAAAATAATATTCATCAATTAACTTTTTCTTGGAAGCATAATAAAATTATTAAAATTAATCATGGATTAATTTCGCATGTTAACTTCCTTTTTTTTTAATTTTTTTATTTCGCATGTTAACTTATATTATAATTAAATGTGAAAATAAAAAATTTAGTAATTTTATTTTTAATGGTCAAGAAACAACGAAAAACAAACCGAAAAAAAAAGAAACGAAATATTTGTATACTATGATCATTTTAGTCATGTTCATGTTTAACCCCTGCTAAGGAATATATGCATGATAGTATTACCGAAACTGGGGGGTAAAATGTAGTTCGCCTAAAATAAAATACTATCTTTAGCTTTTATAACATTTTGATGTACGATGATTGAGTTACCAATTCAAAATAAATTGACTTGATTGCACATGGTGGAATAGATATTTTCCCCGTCCAAAGGAGATTATATGATTATAAGAAGAAAAACGATGTATTCATATACCTTGTAGCGATGGTAGAAGTCATCAGCTACATCTCCATTGCTATGATCTGCTATCATTTCTGTAGCAAAGTAATAAAATTAAAAAATTAGTTCATTAAATAAAAAGATAGAAATATCATAACCATAATTTACATTTATTAAACTACATTTATTTATTTCATTTTTTTTTAAAAAAATATAATAACTTTCATATCATAAACGTACAAAATCCTTCTGAATCTTCCCAAGTTGCTTAAATGGTTATTTTCCTTTTTTTTTTTCTTTTCAATTATATGATTTCAAAATATTCTCACTCCAAAGTCTTAGTCACAATTTTTTTTTTTCAAAATCAGTATTTAAAAGGACCGATGGTCCAACCTATACAACTCAGCATATCAGTAGTTTTTTTTTCCAAGGTACAAAGCATATCAGTGTAATTTAATTGTATTTGACCCTTCTTTCATTATTTTTGGTGTCTTGTTGTCTACTTTAGTTGAGATATATGAAGAAAATATTTAGAGTCGCAATCATACATGATATACTAGTTAAACCAATCCAACTGGGTTTTATTCTTGACAGGGTTTTCTTTTAAAAACTTGACAATTTTTTCTTTTTCCGTAACTGAACTTTGAGATACTTTTATATCTAAATTTATTGGCAATTCATCATCATATAAACTTGTTCGACTCTATTTTAGTTTTAAATTGTCCTTTCGTAAAAAATGACTACATCTGGACAAGCAATACCTTTTTCTTTTCCAAAGACAACAAGGGACAACTTTAAAATTAATTAACATGACATACACGAAATGTAATATTCGAATGTACTCCAAGTAAGTTTCTAGGAATTGTGAACATTAATGATCTTTAGTGTCCTTGTATTGCCTGATGATTATATATTTATCTGTCTCGAAATAATATTTCAAAAAAAGATAAAAAAAGAATAAAAATAAGTCCACCTCTGGGACGGTGGTTTTCATCCTTGAAGCTATTTAGTTCAGTTTTAGCATCAACCAATTAATATAGAACAAGATGGAGAAAACATATGCGAGTTTTTCATTTCTTTTCTCATAAACCCTAAAAATTACTCACTTCATAAGCCGTTGACTCTATTAATCTTCTTTTTGACTCTATTACTTACATAAGCCGTTCATGTCAGTACGTACGTACTAATGTCGTCATTTGGCGATCTTTAACCTCATTTGCGCAGTAAACTCTCGGTGGTGAGAGTATACATTTACTAGCTAACATATCCATTTTTAAGAATTTACTTCACCCCTTTAAAATCTCGTAGTCAAAAAACAGAGTAAAAAATTTTGAATCCCGTTAATTATAAACAATTAACACAAAAGTGATGCAGAAGATTGCGACCGTCAATATTCAGCAATGATATTTTTAAGAGAGAGATTGCGACCTGGATGGCCATGGGTGAACGTATCAGCTACGCTCGGTCCTCTTCCATCCTCAGCTGCTGCTCCTTCATACTGTAATCATAACCATATATATACGTTAAGCACTCTTCGATACTATAAATTAATCAAGGGTTTTCAATTTAAAGGCTAGAAATAACACTTGCATGAAAAAAAGAAGGCATTAAACTGAAATATATACCTGATAGGCAGAAGAAGCAGATCCAAAAATGAATTTGGGTGGGAAATTATGTTTTGTAAATGGAATGTTTACTTTACGAGACGGTGTTTGTGCAGCAGCATTCTCAGTACTGAAGAAAAGAAAATTGGCCAGAGTTATTGCAAGGAGGCCGAGAGAGCTTACAACTTTGAAAGCCATAGCTCTCACGTATGTGGATTGATGAGTGCATCTTTGGATAGTATATAATCTGTGCTTTATATAGAGTTCGAAACAAAGATATATTGTGTCTTAATTAGTTTGATGTGGAACTGGTTTATTCACACGTACCACTCATCAAACTTTGTTTATTTGTGTCGTTGAAAGGCATAGATAATACAAAGTTACATTACTGTCTCATTTTAATAGTTGAATTTTCATAATAAAATTTGAGAACTCGGAACAAATGCAAGGTTGTATTTTGTGATGGGAGATAAAATTGAGAATTTATTGTAATGAGATAATCGTTATGTTTTCATATTTTGAATATTGGATTTTAAAATACTCGTTCAAGTCGAAAAAAAAAAAAAACACTTCAAGTTACTTGACTAGAGTGTACTCTTAAATGACTCGAATAATTGATAGGATATTGTAAGAGACTATGACTTCAATATTTCCATGAGCTCAAAGGTAAAACAATATATTATCACTTTGATATTTATTGGCATTGGCCCGCAACACAAATATATATATATATATATATAATAGATTTTTGAACAATAATTGTACCCGGGTCGCGAAAAGGGAACAGAAAATAACCCGAATACAAAAATAAATCAGAGCGACTGTGGATGTGTTCAAGAACCGGCCTCAGACATAGAATCGAGGACTTAGGATTCACTTTGGTTTAATATTATAAGAAAGATATAGAGAAAGACGCGAGACAAGGCAAAGTGATGGCCGTCAATTGATTAAAGGGAGAGGAAAAGAGATAGGTAACGCCAACTAGATACGAAGAGTGTCGATAAAGCGCTATTACAAAAAAGAATCGAACTCACTGAAGTAGAAAACGATGAACGACTACCTATTTCAAAGAAGGAAAATAGATAAAAAACTATTAGGCTAGACTAATCTACGAAAACATGAATAAAAAAGTACATAAAAAGAAAGGACGGAAAATAAATGAAGTAGAGGCGTCGGCCTTGTTTTATGATATAAGAGATGCCCTTCTGTCTTGCGTTAGGCTGCCTTAAATAGGAGAATAGGCCGGCCAACTTATTGGAGGAAAAGTAGTATCCACATCCAATACTTTCTACTTTCTTGGAGAAGAAATAATACCCTTGTGTGATAAGAACTTTGCTGGCCGAATCCCACTTTGATTAGAAAATTAATCAAGCCATGCATTAAGTCTCAATTAATCACCAAAAGCCTTGTTAGTGTAAACCCACGTGCACTACATTTCTTCATGGAGTAGAAAACTAATTAATTAATATTGCATGGATTGATCATCATGTGAAGCTTTTCCAATTCAAACCAAATTCTAATTAAACCAAAAATATATTTTTGGTGCTACCATAAAGCCCCAAACGTCCATATGAAATGGAATGAGACGTGAACATTGATAAACACATTGTCACCAATAATTTGTATTTGGCATGGCACTAACATTGATATAACACCAACATGCGGGAACAACAAAGTAACACGGCACCCATACGAAATGAGGAACATAATGATCAAAACGAGGTGCATGTTTACTTGGGCGAGATGTGGGACGTCTCCTTCAAAAATCCCCGCCTATGTCAGAACTTCTTGAACTGTGTCGACGCCAAGTATGGTTGCCAGTATTATCGCGACGAACCTTATGAGTTTGCTGAAACTGACCCTAATGTGTAGGAGAACCACTATTCTGCACCCACTATCATTATACAAACTAGAACTTGAAGTGCTTGGAGTGTCACTGTTACTTTCAACTGCTTCCTTATTCGTCGACAACTTACTAGCATCTGTCGCAGAACCTTCTCGATCGCTGTCGGCTTTATCATCAATAGTTGATACTTCAACAACAGACTTTTTCTCTTGGTCGGCCACACATTGGGTAGTAACATCACTATTGATCCTAGGCGATACATTGTTGGACTTATCATCGATAACCTTGGCCTCAAATGCCTTGATTATACTAGGCCGCATAATCGAAGGTATAAGCATTTTTGACTGATCTCTTGCAGAACGCTTCTTTTCTCGGCTAATCAAGGATTTTAGCAACTCATGATCTTTAGCCAAATCAATCCTCCATAATACCGCATTATCATAATCCAAATAAGCATAATTACTGTCGCCACCATCAAAATCAATTCCGCATAATTGAAGACCATCATCAACCTTTTCTGCAAAGTGAAAACCATGCGGTATTGGCTTCCCTTTATTCCGCTTGCTTCTTCTGTTAGCAGAACCTCTCTTGTCATAAAGCCATGCATGATTAGACTTCTGCTTAACCGGCAAGAAATTTATTGCATCATTGACCAATTCGGCACTACTGTTGCAACGCCGATCTTGGAAGCCATTATTAGAAACTCCAACCTGTTGGTCCTTTGGAACATCAATAACTAAGCATTGTGCCGATTCAACTATCACAAATAAATTGGAATCCGGTGTTGCCATTTGGCCTTGCTCCTGCTCGCCCTTAATTTCGTTGACACTTGGACAAACAAAATTATTAGTTGCAGGTGAAAAATTGTCGCAGCTGTCACAAATAATCTCCTCGATATCACTGTCGCCGCTAGAAGACTCACAAGATTTCCTGCAATCAACTTCGACAAATTCGTTTTCAACAATGATAGGTTCATTAGACAAGCAAAACAAATCAGTATGCTCACAATGCTCAGTAACAACTACACTTTCAATAATCGGCAATGATTCACTCGCCGAAATTGTATTTAACTGCTGCGACACCTGTTCATTTGCAGCGACAAACGCTTGTTGAGGGTGCTCTGACTTTTCTTGCAGGTCTTCCCCAAATTTGCCACATTCAACATCAAAATCACTAGGTAGCCCCCGGGGTGTCGACGATAAATCTATCACAGAACTTTCTTGCTACTGATCTGCTGTTGCAACTGAACTTTCACTTGGTTCCTGCGTCTGCTGAGTTTACTCTACCACTTGCAGATTTTGTACCTGCGGTAACACTTGATGTAACTGTAACTGTCGCAACGCTAACAAATTCAGCTTTTGTTCTAATGCCTCAAAATGTGCCAGCAATTGAACCTCATGATATTGCATCAATGACCCCTGATATTGCTGTGTCGATGATTCTGCTTGCTAATGTTGCACTGACGTCCCTTGTTGTTGTTGCGTCGGCAACAAAACTTGTTGATATTGTGGCGATGGAAACTGCTGTTGTAGCGTCTGCATCTGAACTTGCTGCTGTTGCAGCGACAAAACCTGCAGTTGTTGCGTCTGCATCTGAACTTGTTGATGTTGGGGGCGACAAAACCTATTGTTGCAGTGCTTGCATCTGCACTTGCTGATGTTGCAGCGATAGAACCTGCTGTAGTTGCGCCTGAAACAGAACTTGCTGATGCTGCGGCGACAAAACCTGCTGTGGTTGTACCTGCAACAGAATTTGCTGATGCTGCACCAGCGACACCTGTTGTTGCTGCTGTGCCGGCATCTGTTGCATCCTGTTTTCACAGACTGGTGCACTATGAAAATCATGTGTAACTATTGAATTACCAACAGCTGCCAGCCCCTCGAATCTTGAAGGATCTTGTACCATAGACCCGTCACGCTATCTGTCAACACAACTAGATGTTGTGTTGCGCCATATTGACTATAAGATTGAGAAAGCGGCCATCAAGGGTAGCCTGCCATCCAATATTATTTTCATCCCCTAAAGAATTATGTCCTACATGTGGAGTTGAGGGCTGTTGAGAGATATGCCCACCAAGTGGAGATCGACTATAAGAGCATGATGGTCGGAAATTACTAGATGACCTACTATATAGATAAGAAGTATAGATCGGATCCCTAGAGCTACTAAGAATATAAATATGGCTATTGGAATACTCCATAATAAGAAAGAAAAATAGAGAATTGTTTTTTTTTTTTTATAATTTTTAAAGAAGAAAGAGAAATTTAAAAATAGAGATTTTAAGAAATAAAAAAAAAAAACCACCACGATCTAGGAACCAAACCAAACCTTGTCCCATTGGGCATGCCATTATGTTTGTGCCAAAAAAATTGACCTAACCCTTGAGAAAGAAGGGGGCAAAATTTTCTAAAACATATAAAATCAAGCGACTGCGGATGAGTTCAAAAACCAGTCTCGGACCTAGAATCGAGCAGTTAGGGTTAACTTTCGTTTAATAAATAATAAGAAAAATACAGAAAAAAGTGAGACAAGCCAAAGTGATGACCTTGAATTGATTAAAGTGGGGAGAAAGAGAGATATGTAGCGCCGACTAGCTATGGAGAGCGTCGATAAAGCGCTATTACAAAGAAGAATCGAATTCATTGAAGTAGAAAATGATGAATGTTTACCTATTTCTATGAAGAAAAATATGCCAAAAACTATTTAGCCTGGACTAATCTATGAAAACATGAATAAAAAAGTACATGAAAATAAAGGACGAAAAAGAAATGAAGTAGAGGCGTCGGCCTTGTTTTATGATATGAGAGATGTCCTTGTTGGGGGTAATGTTCCAAAAATGCTATATAAAGAAAATACTTGAGTCGCACAAAAGTTGCACTGTTCTAAAGAAATTATTTCGGCGTAACGAAATGTTCCTCCCAGATAAAATAAGCCTTCCTCTTTTAGGATTAGAGGGTACATGAACTAACAAGTTTATAGATCTAATATTTGAAAATTATTTGAAAGTAAAGAGAAAGAAAACCAAAGTTATTTACTCGTGAGGAGTGATTTCAAAGTTTGAAGGAAAATTGAGAAATGATTTTAGTGTTTTCTGAATTGATGAGAAGGATGTTTTGGTGCTTTCTATTTATAGGCCAAAGCACATTAGACTTCATTAAAACCAACCTCATCTAATTACGTAAAGATCAAAACTTTAGTCCATTAATTCTTGAGTTTAATTAATGAACCATTGATTTTATTGAAAGATAGATATTTTACTTCATCTGTATTAAACATCTCGAAAGATCAAAACCGAAAGGTACAAAAGAAAGACTTCGGTTTCTAAATACTGAAATAGCCAGTTGTATTTAAAACATTAAATATGATTTTTTGAAATAAATTTTTACAAATGCCAACAGTCCTTCAGTCTTGCGTTCGGCTGCCTTAAATAGGAGAATTGGCCGGCCAACTTATTGGAGGAAAAGAAGTAGTATCCACGTCCAATACTTCTTACTTCTATTGTTACTGTGTCATATTAAGGAAAACTTGCAGCCCACAATATGTTTATCCTTCTTTAAACATACTTATTGTGGGAGAATATACATAGTTCAGCCGTCAAAATTACTCATTACATCAATGATGGCACAAATATTCCGACAAGTAACGGAAGATAAAAAGGAGAAAGAACTCAAGATGTCAAACCAGCTGGAGTTTACTTAACTAGGA